AATGACTTCAAGCATGCGCTTTCAGTAGCTCTGGATCAGACCTACCCAACCTTCAGGAGGAATATTCGACCATTCCTCTGGTGTGAACGGCTTTCTTGAGGTCATTTCACAGCATCTCTATCAACTACTCTTGATCATATGTCTTCAGAGAGCTCTTTTTTGCAAGGTATGGTTAACATCAGCTGATGCTTCTTATGAGCACCAATCTTAAAATGTCTTTAATCAATCAAAGTAGCTCTAAACCAGGGGTAGGTAACCTTAAAGTGGTGGAGATCTACCTGAACAGCATGGGAGAAGTCAAAGATCACCGGACACAGAGTCTCCTCCTCACACCTGATTTAAACCTCCTAACTGCCGTACTGGCATGTCACAATTGCATGCATTGCATGGCAGTCATGGGTTTAAATCAGGTGGTGAGGAGGTAACTTGGATTTCTCACTGCCTGTCAAACACACTTGGATCGCTTTTCAGAGGAGCAGCAGTTCCTGCTGCACCTGCTGCACTTGTGAATGAGCTCTTAGTGGCATCCGGCAGCTTCACTCTTAGGGCTCATTCACATGTAAAGTTGGGGGCTAGTAAAACCCTGTGATCGTCAGTTTTACTGCCCCCAATCCCTACCCCCTTTTATCTGCTGAAGATGCAGCCAAAAGTGTGCACGTCGCAGCAGGAATTATGTCCCCTATTGCTTTTGGTGGGTGCTACTGCCTGTCAGTCGAGACCCATTTAAGTAAATGGGACCACTCTGCAAGTGCCCCGCAGCTGCATGCTGCTGCGGGATCCAAGGGGTTAAAGCAGGGGGTGAGAAAGCAACACACCGCTGCCTGTTTAACCCCTTGTTTGCTGTACTGCACAAGGTTGCAGGGCACTTGCAGAGCGTCACCATTCACTTGAATGGGTCATGCTTGGGAAGTGCTACACCCACTAACCATGACAGGGTGTAGGAGCAGCACTGCAGAGGAGACACCGGTGTATGCGGCTCTTGCTCCCCACTTCAGCTCCAACTTTACAAGTAGTTCCTCTGTATTGCACACTGATGCTCTATGATGGCAAGTGGGCAAGCTCTGACCCTAATCTGCCAGTCACCTGGCTGAGATCTACTGATAAATCACAATGTACTGGTTGCTGACCCCTGCTCTAAACCACACCTCAAAACTCCTTTCTTTAACCGCTTCCCTGCTGCCTGTAGCAGAAATACTATTACAGGGCAGCAGGAATGTGCAAAATTACCTGTGTGTGTATATATGTATATACAGTTGTGTTCAAAATAATAGCAGTCAGACATCACTAACCTGATCAATCACTGTTTTTGATAGAAATGATATTTCTACATGGCAAATAATTTACTAGCAGGTGTAGTAGAGTAATAGAAATCCAACAGACCCAACAGTCATGACATGCATGCTGCTGATTCTGTGGAATTGAATCACTAATTGAAAGGGGCATGTTCAAAATAATAGCAGTGTGGAGTTCTATTAGTGAGGTCATTCATTCTTTGAAAAGCAGGTGGCATTATTATTGCCCTTATTTAAGGAAGGAAGGCAGCAAATGTTGTACATGCTGGTTACAGTGCATTTCTCTCTCTTGGGAGGGGAAAACATATAAAGAAGTGCAGAAAATGATAGGCTGCTCAGCTAAAATGATTGCAAATGCTTTAAAATGGCAACCAAAACCTGAAAGACGTGGAAGAAAGCGAAAAACTACCATTCGAATGGATAGAAGAATAGCCAAAATGGCAAGGACTCAGCCAACAATCAGCTCCAGGAAGATCAAAGAAGGTCTAATGTTACCTGTGAGTACTGTTACAATTAGAAGACGCCTATGTGAAGCCAAGCTATCTGCAAGAAGCCCCCGCAAAGTCTCACTGTTGAAAAAAAGACGTGCTGAAGAGGTTACAATTTGCCAAAGAGCACATTGACTGGCCTAAAGAGAAATGGTGCAACATTTTGTGGACTGATGAAAGTAAGATTGTTCTTTTTGGGTCTAGTGGCCGGAGACAGTTTGTCAGACGACCCCCAAACACTGAATTCAAGCCACAGTACACTGTGAAGACAGTGAAGCATGGTGGTGCAAGCATCATGATATGGGGATGTTTCTCATACTATGGTGTTGGGCCTATTTATCGCATACCAGGGATCATGGATCAGTTTGAATACATCAGAATACTTGAAGAGGTCATGCTGCCTTATGCTGAAGAGGAAATGCCCTTGAAATGGGTGTTCCAACAAGACAACGACCCCAAACATACCAGTAAACCTGCAACATCTTGGTTCCAGACCAACAAGATTGACGTTATGGAGTGGCCAGCCCAATCCCCGGATCTTAATCCAATAGAAAACTTGTGGGGTGACATCAAAAATGCAGTTTCTGAGGCAAAACCAAGAAATAGAGAAGAACTGTGGAAATGTAGTCCAATCATCCTGGGCTGGAATACCTGTTTACAGATGCCAGAAGTTGGTTGACTCCATGCAACACAGATGTACAGCAGTTCTCAGAAACAGTGCTTATACAACCAAATATTCATTAAGTGATTCAAAGGAAAGCAAAATCTTCAAACAGTTTTCAGTTTATATAGTGAATGTTTGAGTTTGTAAAGAAGAATACAAACACTGCTATTTTTTTGAACAGTCTAATATTCACTTTTCTTCAATTTTTTTAGAGGAACACAAATTTGATATATTTTTCTTCATGTTTTGATTTGGAATAGAATGTGTAGTGTTCCCAATGCATTTGTGTGTATGGAAATAAAAGCTATTAGAAGGATTTTGAGCTTTATTCACTTTTTTCAACAAACTGCTATTATTTTGAACACAACTGTATATATTTGCATTTCCCGGTTAGGCGGCGCGCGCACTCCGCCCCACCCACTCCGCCATTGGCAGCTACAGATGTGGGTCACATGGTCCCGGCTAGAGATTCCCCGCTGGCACCCTGTGATTGCTGAGAAACCATAATAGGGGAGAGACCTGTTTTGTAAACAACACAGTTCTTTCTCCTGCCAACATTAACAACATGCTGCTGTGTATATCTCTGCACAGCAACATGTTTCCCAAATAAAACACACACAGTACATGATGTTAAACAGTACACAGTTAACCCTTTGATCGCAGCACATGTTAACCCCTTCCTGCCCAGTGTCATTAATACAGTGTCAGTGCTTTTTATTAGCACTGATCACTGTATTAGTGTCATTGGGATGTCAGTGGCAGTTATTCAGTTCCCACCCAGTGTCAGCATGTCCGCCGCAGTCCTGCTATAAGCCGTTTAAAATTCCAGTATATATAACGCCATTTGTAGATGCTATAACTTTCATGGAAACCAGTTAATTTACATGTATTGGGATTTTGTTTTAGCAAAGACATGTAGCAGAATACATTTTGGCTGAAATTTATAACAAAATTTGATTTTTTTAAAAAAAAATTACTGGACATGTTTTACAGCAAAAAGTAAAAAATGTGTTTTGTTTTTTTTTTTTGTTTTTGTTTTTTTTATAGCGCAAAAAATAAAAACCGCAGAGGTGATCAAATACCACCGAAAGAAAGCTCTATTGGTGGGGGAAAGAATGGACATAAATGTCTTTTATGTACAGCGTTGCATGACCACGCAGTTGCCAGTTAAAGTAATGCAGTGCCGTATCGCAAATAATGGCCTGTCAGGAAGGAGAGTAAATCCTCTGGAGGGCAAGTGGTTAATTGGATTCCAGGTGTGCAAACTACTGACTCCAATTAGCTTTGGTTGAAGTAATTAGTCTATGGCAGTGGTTCTCAACCTTTCTAATGCCGCGACCCCTTAATACAGTTCCTCATGTTGTGGTGACCCCCAACCATAAAATTATTTTCATTGCTACTTCATAACTGTAATTTTGCAGTGGGAGGAGTAGTGCCATGTCATTGGTGTCAGTGGGATGCATAGTGCCCCATTGTTGGTATCAGTGGGAGGAATAGTGCCCCATCGTTGGTATCAGTGGGAGGAATAGTGCCCCATCATTGGTGTCAGTGGGATGAATAGTGCCCCATCATTGGTATCAGTGGGAGGAATAGTGCCCCATCATTGGTGTCAGTGGGATGAATAGTGCCCCATCACTGATGTCAGTGGGATGCATAGTGCCCCATCACTGGTGTCAGTGGGAGGAATAGTGCCCCATCACTGGTGTCAGTGGGAGGAATAGTGCCCCATCGTTGGTGTCAGTGGGAGGAATAGTGCCCCATCGTTGGTGTCAGTGGGAGGAATAGTGCCCCATCGTTGGTGTCAGTGGGAGGAATAGTGCCCCATCGTTGGTATCAGTGGGAGGAATAGTGCCCCATCGTTGGTGTCATCGTTGGTGTCAGTGGGAGGAATAGTGCCCCATCATTGGTGTCAGTGGGGGGAGTAGTGCCCCATCATTGGTGTCAGTGGGGGGAGTAATGCTCCATCACTGGTGTCAGTGGGGGGAGTAGTGCCCCAGTGGGAGGAGTAGTGCCCCATCACTGGTGTCAGTGGGAGGAGTAGTGCCCATCACTGGTGCACCATCGTGGTGTCAGTGGGAGGAATAGTGCCCCATCGTTGGTGTCAGTGGGAGGAATAGTGCTCCATCACTGGTGTCAGTGGGAGGAGTAGTGGGAGGAATAGTGCCCCATCATGGGAGGAATGTGCCCCAGTGGTATCAGTGGGAGTAGTGCCCCATCGTTGGTGTCAGTGGGAGGAATAGTGCCCCAGTAGTGGGGGGAGTAGTGCCCCATCATTGGTGTCAGTGGGGGGAGTAATGTATCACTGCAGTGGGGGGAGTAGTGCCCCATCACTGGTGTCAGTGGGAGGAGTAGTGCCCCATCACTGGGAGGAAGTAGTGCTCCATCACTGGTGTCAGTGGGATGAGTAGTGCCCCATCATTGGTGTCAGTGGGAGGGAGAATAGTGCCCCATCATTGGGGTCAGGGGGGCTCCATCACTGGTGGGGGAATAGTGCCCCATCATTGATGTCAGTGTGGTGGAGGGGAGAATCATCATTGTCAGGGGGGGGGGGAATAGTGCCCCATCGTTGGTGTCAGTGGGGGGAGGAATAGTGCCCCATCGTTGGTGTCAGTGGGGGGAGGAATAGTGCCCCATCGTTGGTGTCAGTGGGGGAGGAATAGTGCCCCATCGTTGGTGTCAGTTGGGGGAGGAATAGTGCCCCATCGTTGGTGTCAGTGGGGGGAGGAATAGTGCCCCATCGTTGGTGTCAGTGGGGGGAGGAATAGTGCCCCATCGTTGGTGTCAGTGGGGGGAGGAATAGTGCCCCATCGTTGGTGTCAGTGGGGGGAGGAATAGTGCCCCATCGTTGGTGTCAGTGGGGGGAGGAATAGTGCCCCATCGTTGGTGTCAGTGGTGGGAGAAATAGTGCCCCATCGTTGGTATTAGTGACACAAATGATGGGGCACTATTCCTCCCACTGACACCAATGATACTTACTTTGCTGACCCCTGCTCCAGCCTGGGCTCGCTCTCTCACTTACCTGTCAGCTGTCTTCCTTCTCTGGCCGCTCTCCTCTTCACTCGCTCCGGCAGCTCCCTCGGTCTTCTTTGATGTACGCGCGCTGCCGCTCGGCTCCTCCTCTCCAAGCTCCACCTCCTCGCCGGTGATTGGCCGCCTGTGTGCCTCTCCTGAGCTACAGTTCCGGTGGCCAATCAGCGGCGAGGAGGCGGAGCTGCTGAGCGATCCCGGAGGTGTGGCCAGGTGACAGCAGCGTATCATCCCGCCCACACATCGCCGGAGACAGCAGAGGTGTCTCGGTTCCTAAGACCATCGGAAATATGTGTTTTCCGATGGTCTTAGGCGACCCCTGGGAAATGGTCGTTCGACCCCCAAAGGGGTCGCGACCCCCAGGTTGAGAACCGCTGGTCTATGGGTTCACTTACTTTTTCCTTCTCCAGTGTGGACCAGTTTTGACAGAGTGATTTCAGCCCCGTCCAGTGCGACTTTGTTGAGTGGTTCAGGTGCGATTCCAGTATGAACTCTTAAAGTGTATAACATTGGAAATCGCACCTGAACCAGGCTGAAAATCGAGCCTGACCCTTTTGAAAATTGCGCTGTGGCCAGCCCAGATATGTAAACCAGTGACTTGGATGGAGATCAGATTAAGGCTCCATGCACACTAGTGGTTTTTTTTTTTTAGCTCCAAAAGCTGCTGTTAGCATTTTTTTCTGCTCCTAGAAGGTAAATTGTGTTCTCCTGTATGTCCATGCACACTACTTTAGACTATTAGCATTTTTTGAGCTTCAGTTTCTAGGAGCAGAAAAAAAAAAATGTTTTTTGTAGAGTATTTTGGAGCCATTTTCCAGCAGAAAAACGCTAATTGCTGCTAAAACGCGCCAAACAGCTTTTTTTTTTTTTTTTTCCCCCTCTACATGTACTGTAAAAATGCTAATAAACTGCAAACTCTTCTGAACGCTACCAAAAACTGATATTACAAGCGGTTTTTCCCAGTTTTTTTTGAGCTAAAAAACCGCTAGTGTGCATGGAGCCTTAATGTCAAATTACTGTAGAAAACCAGTTAATTCCAAGGGGTCACATACTTTACTTGCCACGGTAGCAGGTGAACTATCAAGAGAACCTGTTACTTAGCTCTGAATAGGCAAATTAATGCAGGCCATAGACGGGTCGAAAAAAAAAAAGTCGTTCCTTCAGCCGATGTTACCACCAACGATAAAAAAAAAATTAGCCGACTAAATCATAAAGTTCACCCCATAACTTCTGCCCCTTGCAGGTCACGGCTCATGCGCGGATTTTTTATCGGTAAAACGATCGGCCGATTTGCCCATCATTGCCGGGAAAATCGAATTTTCCAACATGACCGATAAAAAAAAAAAAAACTGTGCATAAAACCAGAAAAACGGCTGACCAATTAACCCACGAACAGTGCTATGGCCGGCATTACTTTATTTTTTTTTTTTTTTTTTTTTTATTATTATTAACCCCTTCATGCCTAAGGGTAAAACAAATCTAAATGTCTAAGCACAATCCTGCAACGTTGACAGTAAAAACCATACACATCATCACAACTACTTTGTACATCAGGTGGATTATACCGCGTTTGTTTCAGGATAAATTGGGCTTTCATTTGGTGGTAAATGGTAATGGATAGCTCCTAATTTGTTTTTATTATCAAAGGAAAGCTGGCCCAAAATGGTAAAAAAAAAATATATATTTTTTTTTTTTATATTTAGCTGTGTGTTTCTTGTTACGACCATAACCTACCTCCATAGAACAACCCAAAATAAATTCTCCAGCTCTTGACGATCGTAGCGATACCATATATGTGTATGTTATTTGTTGTTTGTACCTGTAGTACAGCCCAGAAACAATAGTGCGCATTTTGTTTTGGTCTTTTTTTTTTTTTTTTTTTTTTTTTTTTTTTAACCTAAAACACACTGACATGAACGCTAACTGACACCAATTTTTTTTTTTATCCTGACCTTTGACCCTGACCTTGACCCAAACGCTATCCGTGATACTGAACTAGATCAAACCTTGATGTAGGTATATTTTCTTTATTTTTTATTTTATTTTTTAATATTTGTTTATCTTTTTTTGTTTTTTGGGGGGTTTTTTTTTTCTGTCAGAAGTTAGAGAGATACAATGTATCTTCATAGAGAGAAAAAACAAGGGGGCGGGGCTGCACAATGACTGATCACCGTGATAGCCTATCAGAGGCTGCACAGCGATCATGTGACCCGGAATCGGGGTCCCGATCGTTTGGAATCGGGAGTCCCGGGTCCCGATCGTTTGGAATCGGGAGTCCCGGGTCCCGATCGTTTGGAATCGGGAGTCCCGGGTCCCGATCGTTTGGAATCGGGAGTCCCGGGTCCCGATCGTTTGGAATCGGGAGTCCCGGGTCCCGATCGTTTGGAATCGGGAGTCCCGGGTCCCGATCGTTTGGAATCGGGAGTCCCGGGTCCCGATCGTTTGGAATCGGGACCTGGGGCTCTCAGAGACACCGCGGTCTCTGTGCTGGGAGTGCGCCGAGTGGTGCGCTCCCAGCACAAAGGCAGGTACACAAATATGCGGCCCTACGGAAAAAAGCCCAGTTCTGTGAGGCCGAATATTTGTGTGCCGTCGGCGTCAAGGGGTTAAGTATCCTCTTTCTGGCGATCTCCAGGATATCTCATGAATGAGGATGAGGCGGGGAGTAACTACACCAGTTCTTCTCCCACAGATGTATGGTCTATTGACCTCACTGATTGTTCTGCTCATTGGGGAAGAAAAGGAATCTTCATGACCCTAAATGCCTCTGTTCAGACATTAAAAATGCAGAATACTGATTGAAGTACCAGCACAATATTTGGACATTTTCTAGGTCTTCCTTGGCGTGAGAGCAGATTAGCAGGAGTGGCCATTTAAAGGCATATTGCATGTTTATGGAAGATTGCCTTTAAAAACAAGTATTCTGAACCTGAGTTGTTCTATTTATAGCTGCCACCTGCTGCCTGCATTGTTTGATGCTAAACATGTCTTTGTTGGAGGTTTAGTGCAGCTTTGTTTATCCTTTTAACACTGTAACCTCTAAAACAGATGTATAAAGGACAACTCTGAAAAAAGTAAAAAAAAATCAAGATTCTGTGCAAGTCTTATGTGCAATTTAGTCCTAAAAATTACATTTCAGCCATTATGTTCTAAAAAAAAGTCTGGATTATTTGTATGATTGGCTCACTACTGTTCCTTTTTAATTGTAGTAAACATTATTAGAAAATACAACAATCATTTTTTTTTTTTTTTTTTTTCTTGTTTTCAAATGTTCGCACCATGTTGTAAAGAAGAATGCCATTAATGGTACAAAAATTCTCAAACCTCTCACTCCAGGCCAGTTCACACCACAGAAAAACAGTCCAGATGCATTTCTGCATGCACTTTTTTGATGCATTTTTTTTTTCTTCCTCTTAATGCAGGCCATAGACGGGTCGAACATCAGCTGATTTTTCGAACGAAAAATCGGTCGTTCGTTTTGGCCGGGGTTACCACCAACGATTAAAAAAAATCGGCGGACTAAATCATAAAGTTCACCCTATAACTTCTGTCCCTTGCAGGACACGGCTGATGCGCAGATTTATTATCGTTACAACGATCGGCCGATTTGGCCATCATTGCCGGAAAAATCGGCCGATCGTCCAAATCAGCCGCGAATTTTCCAACATGACCGAAAATCTCAAAGTGCAAAAAACCCGAAAAACGGCTGACCAGTTAACCCACTAACAGTGCGAAAATCGGCCGATTTTTGGCTGAAAAATCGCCCGATTTTCAAACAGTCTATGGCCAACATAAGGCTCCGAGCACACTAGCAATTTTTTTTTTTTAATCTCATAGAAGCTATTACCATTTTTTTTTTTTTTTCTGCTCCTAGAAGTTGAATCGTGTTATCCTATGTGTTCATGCACACTACTTTTAAGCTATTAGCATTTTTTTTGAGCTTCAGCGTCTAGGAGCAGAAGTTTTTTGGAGTGATTTTCCAGCAGAAAAAAAACCTGAAATGCTCCTAACAGCTTTTTTTTCTAGCTTTTATTTTCTTGTTCCTCTTCATGTACTGTAAAAACACTAATAAAATACGAACGCTCCTAAACGCTAAAAAATTCTATTATCAGCATTTTTTTTTTTTTTGTCCAGCGTTTTTTCCCACCATTTTTTTGAGCTTAAAAAAAATAGTGTGCATGGATCCTCACATGTGCATTTTGATGTGTTTTGCTGCAATCCGGTACAGTTTAGTGCAGAAAAAATGCAACATGTTCTACTTCCTTTTTTTTTTTTTTTTTCTACACTGGTGTGAACTAGGTAATTGGAAGTCATATAACCTACTATCTATGCATTTTTGATACAGGAAAAAAAACTGGACTGCATCTGGTGTGAACCGACCCTAAAACCTCTTAAATCCATAGCTAAGTTCCAGCATAGAAGTGATGTAATGTGCATGTGACCCGTCTAATCGTAGTAGTAGTAGATAAAATAAAAAATAATACAACAATAACTATTAATCATAACCCTTTATTTATAGTCCAAGAAGTAGTCTGTATACTGTAAACTGTATATTATATTTACTTATCATTATCACAAACATTTTTCTTTATATCACTTTAAAAACAATCTTTTATTATCCTGTATAATTCTTTTGTGTTTGTGAAAATAATTTTCATTGCCATCTTCAAGGTTACACTTTGTATCTGATCATTTTATTTTGCTCTCTTACGAGAGCCTGGGAACCACATCCACTGAC